TTGGCAAATCTTTTCGTGCCGATGTAAGTTTTACACTTTTTTATTATTAAACTTACGATTGACACGTGTAAAATTTTTTTATATTTTCCGGATGAAATATTCCATTAATACGAATAAATTATGATTATCAAAAAAAAATTTTACCATTTATCAGCAGAATTATATAATTCCATAATATTTTATTTATGCTTTTTAGAGCCTATTTAAATAATTATAAATTAGTAAAGTTTTTCCATTTTTATGAATAATCAAAATACATACTTCATTATAATTTGATCCAAATTTAATTACTGAATCCTCAAATTCCTTTAAATAATAATATATTGAATTGACGATGTTAATCATTATTGAGCACTAAAGATTAATTAATTTATTGAAACAAATAATGATTATACTATTTCATCATCTTCATCCTCATCAATTTCCTTTGGTGGTGATGATAGTGTTCCTGACAAATCATTATTTTTCTGCAATTAGAAACCAAAAAGATCCAAGTTATTAAAAAGTCACTCTTATCCATCCAAAGAAAATATAATTTACTTACTTGCAATTACTGTTGGTGAACTATTTTTACATTTGTTTTGCCTGATAGTTTGCTGATTTTGGACACCAAGTTTCTACCTTTTGGTTACTGATTGTTGCCAATGTGCGACAAAATTCAATAACAATCATGAGAAAATCATCACCATTCTTAAAATAGGTAAAAATCAGCTAAAAATCAGATACCTGATATTTCACAGATTTTATTCCGAATTGTCCTTTTTTTACTTGTGATAACCTTAGACAGAAAACCATTACTGCCTTTATTTTCAACAGTTCCAGTTTCTTTTGATTATTTCAAGTTGTTCTCATTAGTAAGAGAGGTGTGTTTGTTTTTTATGTGTTTCTTTAGGGAAATGAACCACATTCATCCAAAACATGAAAATAGCTTTATGTTGTGCTTCCAATTTTTGTATTAACCATCTTTTACAAAGTAAGTTTAATTGGTGATCCTTCTATGAATAAGTGAATGTTATATAGTGATTGATGGTGAAAAACTCAAAGATTATATATACACATAATTATTTTTTCATTTATATTAACAAAGTACAAATGTTGGAGTCACAAGAATTTTGTTATCTCTCTGCATATGTAATATTTTAGATGACAAGGCTTTTTGTACTGAAAAAAAAGTACATAAAATTGGATTATTATTTTTATTCAACCAATCAAAGTTGATTATACTAAAAAAATGATGAGTGAGCTGATCTTTGTAAGATTGATTGTGAATATAATCTTTGTAAAGTTTTTGAAAGATTCTGAAGCTAGAAATGTTTGTTAAATATTATACAATCAAATTCCTATATAGTCACATCCAATATAGTCATAGTCACACATTTTTTATTCCCAATTTTTTTATATAAAATAAATCATATATAGTCACTTTCATATTGTAATCACTATCACCAATATTTGGCAGTTCCATAACAAATTACAACATATAAAATTTCATCATATATAATCACCAATTCATGTGACTATACATGTAGCCCAAGGTATTCTGACACTGTCATAAAGGGGATTACATATGTAGTAAAGGGGTGTTACACTCATGTTTTTAATAGTGAGTGCCATAATTAATTTCTACTTTCTACCATCAAAATTGGGGCTGCATGGATACATGTGTCTGTGTAAATATTATTGGCTAATTGAAAATTTTTTTGAATTTTGTGTGAATTTTTGAATTTTTGAATTTTTGAAGTTTAATAAATTGTTACCATTGACATTGTAATTACCATTACCATTATTGTTGTTATTAACATTACCATCATTATCATTACCATGTCTCAACCAAAAAAAAAAAAAAAAATGTACAGCTATTAGTGAGCAATTGAAAAGAGAAATTTGTATATATTATCAAAAAAATTTTCAAGAAATTGCAAATTATTTTAGT